GAAAAACTTAGTAATTCCAGCTCAAATGGATCTGCTGGGTTGGTTAGATCCTTCTGTCAGGGTTGAGTGAAGCAGGCAGGACCCAAATGCAGATTTAACCGAAAATACCTTTATTTCAAGGCTAAATGAAACAAACAGAACTCTTCCCTGTGAACACAGTCAAACAACAACAAGGATCTAACAAAGACAGACAGAAAAACCAGAACTAAAATACACACAGGACTAATCAAGGAAACAAGAGACAGGTGAGGAGGGAGGAGAAAACACAGGGGCACTAGGTGAACACAATCAGGAAAACAGGTAGGAGGGAACAGGTAGGAGGGAACACACAGGGTCCTTCTCACTTCGGTTAAATGGATTCCTTGCGTCCCTCACTTGCGTCGTTTCCCTGTGACTAGTCCCTCCCACCAGGGAAGCTTGGAGAGACGCAAGGAAACCACGAGAAGCAGGGAAATTAGTTTTAAGAGCAATGGGACGTCCTTTCCTCTGGGGCGTCACGTGAAGCGACGTCCGTTTGTGATGACGCTGCACAGCTGATCGTCTGACAGCAGCCAGCTCTGTCCCCGTTATTTCCACACACACCCCCGCCTCTGTTAGTACACATTTACTGACACAAACATTTGTATCATCTGTTGTAGACCAAATAAATTAAATTAAGTAAGAACTCATTCTCAAAAAAGATAAACGCCATTCTTAAAATGTATAAACGAACATTAGTTGGATTAATATTGATTAGAGTGCACAATAGAAATAAAATAATTGAGAGAAGAAAAAGAGATATGTTATCTATCAAAACCCAGTTAGATTAACATTCATTGGATTGCACACTTTGTTTGTTTGTTTGGATATGTAGCACATTAACATTTTAATAGCACTTAATGACTGACTGAATGGAAATGACAATACATGAAAATGTAAAACGAAAAAAGCGATCATGAAAATGTTTCCAAAAGATGAATAAAATGATTTTTGACCACTTTGTTGTTCAGATATATCACATATTTGTAACTAAATGATACATTAATTGAAACAAAACACAGTATAGACTGAGGAGTGACTCTCGTAAGTTTCATGTGTTTTCTTCACTCCGCTGGGAAACTGCTCTCATGTCAAGAAGCATCAGATCAGTGCATGCGCTGCATCGTCCAATCCGTGAGCGATACACAGTAAGGGGGCGGGGCGAGTATCTGAGGATTTCATCGAAGGATGGTCTGGTGGTTCCTCGATTATAGCTCCTCCATTATCGCTCCTCGCTCCTCGGTCCTCCGGCAAAAATAAGGCCATTGGGACGCTACTACAGACATGAAACCAAAGACTGATCTAAACAAGACAAAACACAACGCAGACAGATCGTGACACATATGCCTAAAACAGTCCTGATGCTCTTCTAGGTAATCATACTTCCTGTCATGTACACAGCTAGAGTTGGGATACCTTTGTTATCATGTTACTCTCATATTGGAAGAGTACATTCAGGATTTCACCATTGTGTTCTTTTTAACCAAATATCTCTCAGAGGCACGTGGGGAGTTGCTCCTTATTTTCATCCAAAGTAACAGACAGAGAATCAGCACTTTTGAAACAGGGCTGAAACAGAGGGGATTATGGGACACTACAATGCATGATCTGTTTGGTATTTGGAGCAAAACACTTCAGAGACATGTTTTGTAAATATCTGAGACAATAATATATTGATGAAAAACAGTATAATAGGGGACCTTTAAGATATTGCATTCAACTCTATCTTAAAAGTCACATTATTTAATAAAAAGTTGTATCTTGGGATTTACATTTGATACATTCTATAAATCAACTGATCGGTGTGTTCTTTATCATATTTCCTGTTTATTTGTTAGGGACTTTGCTGCACTGCACACATATGTATTGGTGTTTATAAATAAAAACAATTACATTCTAATGTTTTACATTCAACACATTGTGTAGCATATCTTTGTAATGTAATTGAGTGCTACACCAACATTATGGATGTGTACAAAATAAGGAGCAGTTGATTGTATTTTATACTGAGGAGTAGGAAATAGTTCACACCTTCATGGAAGAATGAGTGAAGATATGATGAGGCAAACAAAGGCAAACAACGAAGGGAATCATTATTTGAAAGTCAAGGTGTAGGACTTTATTTACTCAGATTGCACATTATTCAAAACTCAACCACAACAACAACAATAGTGGAGAGGATGATGGAAGAAACGCAGCAGAGTAAGATGGCGATAGCAGGATCAGACTTAATAGCTGGCCATGGTGGTCTCCAGCCAATCGTTGAAGAGGCAGACCTGTGAATGGAGACACAGTGAGGTTTGTTAGGAAGTCAGCAATCAACAAATATTTTAGTCTAGCATGCAAAGTGTGAAATGTAGGTTTCATGTCTTCTATTGTAGGGATATTTTTGGTTTACCTTAGCATAGACACCGGGGTAGTCCCTCTCAGCACATCCGTAGCCCCAGGACACAACACCCTGCAGCTCTCCGTTGCACACGACGGGTCCACCAGAGTCTCCCTGAGAGAGAATTAATTTGTGAAGGAATGTACACATTTTCTGTATATGCAACTAAGGTGCATTGTTATAGGAAAAGGAATCCTGCAGAGTTGTTTTGTTACACACCTGGCAGGAGTCCTTGCCTCCCTCCAGGTATCCAGCGCAGAACATGGCATCAGTGATCATGCCGGGGTAAGAGTTATCACAGTCCCTGTCGGACAGGATGGGGATGTTCAGGCACTGCAGCTTGTTGCCGTCAGCAGCTGTAATTTAGTAAAACAGGTTTAGAATAGCACAAATAACACAAAAATAAAGTGTAACTCTAGCTGTTAAAATGCAGGTGTTACTCACTGGAGCTCTGGGTGCTTCCCCAGCCGGAGACGGTGCACATGGTGCCAGCGGGGGCACAGCTGCTGGGCAGAGCCACAGGCTTCACGTACTTGTTGAGGGTAGCGGGCTTGCTCAGCTTGATCAGCATGATGTCATTGTCGATGTTGTAGGCGTTGTAGTTGGGGTGACGGATGACACGGGAGGAGCTGATGAACTGCTCGTTTCCCTCGGTGACCCTGATGTGGTGCTCTCCCATACGAACCTCCACACGGCTAAAAGCAAATGGAAATGACTGGATTAGTAACAAAATACAGACAACTGTTCATCAAATAATAATGTGCATGCCCCACGGGTTAGTAAATCAATCCTATGACCCTGGAAAACATGAGGAATGTGCTTACGACTTGTAGCAGTGAGCGGCAGACACCACCCAGTTCTCGTTGACCAGGGAGCCTCCACAGAAGTGGTAGCCAGAGTTCAGAGACACCTGATGGGGCTGGGAGTTGGGAGTGCACTCCTTCCCTCCGACGATCTTGTCCTCCTCCGTGGCAACTGAGAAAACACACATCAGCATCAAGTTAGTTGTTTGATACTACTCTTTAAAAAAAATTACAATATAACAGACATCTATTTGAATGTAGAACAACTGCGCATTGTTCATTTGAGAACTTTGGGTGGTTAAAGATCGATCAGTTGTTCAAATTAAAATCCTTGGCTTTAGGCACGTGCTCTGGTTATTCTGAACTAAGTTTTGGGATAAAGGCCCACAGACTGTCAGCAGAGAGGAAGGCAATCGGCTGGATAAGAGCTTCACACTCACAGGCAGCTCCGATGAGCAGAACGAAGACCAGAGACCTCATGGTTGCTGTGTGATTCTGTCGATGATAGCCTTCACCTGCAGACCTGGTTTATATCCTCAGTCAGGAGAGCTGCCCTGCTGTCCGGCCTTCCTCATTGGTCAGCAAGGAGCCAATCTCTGCTGCAGGAGGTTGGAGTTAGGTGATTCATTTAAAGAATTACATAACAAATATCTTTATTGAAGTAAGGATAGCTTTCTTGTTAGAAAATTGTGAAAAGTAAAAGGGGAAAGTATGGATAATATTGGGTCCTTTTATTATTTATTTATTACTTTATGACAATACAAGTCCAAATCATTCTTATACGATCTCTAATATCTACACAATGTAATAGTTGAACCTGTTTTTTGTTGTTTTGGGTGGTTAGGCCAAAGGACCCTGACCAAGCGTCGGTTTTTGAAACGCAGGGAGTGATCTTGTAAAGTTATTGTAAAAAACGACATTATTACCACATATTTTTATATGCCACATTTGACATAAGATTCAACACTCACAGACCAATGTATTGCTAGGAATCGCTTTTGTCTTGACTGTCAGGATGACACAGAAGTTGAGGGTAAAATGCAGTTTTTTAATCCACTTCACTTATCTATAAGCTATAAATACATAATATAATTATGGTTTGGATGCCAAATAAAGGATTTAGCCCTAGAAAAGTATTTATTGGTATGAAGCCGTACAGGATGCTTGATATAGCACCACTTTGTCAAACTCATCTCTGAATAAAAACATAAATCATTTAAATTAGGTTGCTATGGAGTCATTTCTCACAGTGAGTGTTTCTGCTCCTTCTTTTATTTTGCCTAAAAATATTTGTTTGCAACTCATAACTTTTGTAAAGGTTTGAATCCACCTCTTAAAGTTGGCTTGTGTTTCTCGGTCACATTGCACAGGTAAACAGGTCCCCTCTATATTTAGATGTGTGCTCACTGTATCTCACAGCTGTGTGTTTCTCAGCATCTGCAAGCTACGTTTAAATTATGATACAAGGGATGAAGAAATTATTATTAATTAAGAAGAATCTTTTATTCACTTTATTTCTTTGGCAGCCTGTGTCCTTTATATCAATGGATATGATAACAAAAAAAAATATTATCTTAATATTTAATGACATTTGTAATTTCGTATACAAGTTATGGCAAAGTTCAAATTGCATCAACTAGAAATACCATTTAAATTAAAGGAACAAAATATTGCAAAGACAAAACAATGATTAATTTCAATCAATTTATTTATTTCACTATAAATCCAGCAAAGACAGTTAGCATTAGGACAGACAGTATATGTGTGTCTGATGTGGAGGTTGGATGGTGGAGTTAATAGGTAGCCATTGTGTTGTGCAGCCACTCAGTCTGCACACACACCTGAAAATAAAAATATATCAGTCAGTTCGTTGCAGTGAAACATGACGAACTTAAGGAGTGTGATATTTCTCTATTTTTAGGAGATGCAGGGAAGTTACCTTGGAGTGGACACCAGGGTGGTCCTTCTCTGCACACCCGTAGCCCCAGGACACAACAACCTGCAGGTCACCGTCACACACCACAGGACCACCAGAGTCTCCCTGATTGATGTCATTTTAGAGAGTTAATTTTTTTCGTCAATCAGAGATACACACCTGACAGGAGTCCTTGCCTCCCTCCAGGTATCCGGCACAAAACATGGTGTTGTCGATCATGCCGGGGTAGGAGTTATTACAGTCTTCATAAGAGAGGATGGGGATGGCAACACACTGCAGCCTGTTGCCGTCAGCAGCTGCAGCAATGCAACAACAGAGAGGGGTGCAGGGGTTTGCTGTAGATTACGTTGTTTTACACATTGCAGAGCAAGAGCAGCTATAGCACCACTACTTAACCAACCCAACCCTGTATCACGGCAAGACTTGAACATGTGATGATTTACCATGCTGGGAGACGTGAAGATGTCACGATTTCGTCCCTTCAAACATGACAGTTACACGGTATTGTTAACATGGCCCAAATACCCGGAAATGCCAAGCAAATGCTGTACCACATCGGTCGGTTGTTATTCTCAATATTAATATAATAATGATTTATTTTTTAATAGTCACACTCGATTTCGCCGATTTTCTTGTTGCCCCAGCTGGTCGACATCTCTTTTAGCAGAAACAAAGGCTACATTAATGTATTAAATCGATGTTAATCCATGTGTGTGGTTGTGGAATTAACGGACGTGACGTTGTGCGATTGCGTTGCCAGGCAACAACTTGGCTTCATGTTAATTTACAAACTCTTCAACTAGAACCGTAGTTATATTTAAAAACATTTTAGAAGGCCTCACGATATACTTCAATGTAAATTTTAATTTAAATTTGAAGGACTGTGTGTATAACAAAATACATCCGTCAAAAACAATACCGGAAACAGACGTAGGCAAGATCCTCAGCTCGGTGATTGGATGGTTTAGCCGCAATGCACGTTGTGTTTTTGCAATGTGAAATCCGAAAACAATTTTTTTTTTTAAATAATACTTTATTCCGAGTGTGCTTGCTTTTCTCTTTGAAAGTCATCACATAACGGCATTGTAATACACGGTTCGGCTGCATTAAATATTACATATCTGCCGTAGTTCTCTACTTATAGAGCCCTGATGAGAAGACTTCTAGACAAACAGGAAGAACTGCCACCAAAACTGGAAACGTGACGTGGATCATAAATATATCAGCCATTAAACAACATCTTAGATTTATTTTTCACACAATACGTCTCCTTGTAGTATCAACACTAATTCGGCTGACTTTTATATTTGGTCCAATTGGTAGATAGGCTGTATTTACACCATAACAGTGCACAGCTGATAGAAAGGGACACCTAGTGGTTAAAGCATGTTATTGCATTTTATTATTTTATTATTAGATATTAATAGGATCCCTATAAAGTATATTCATTACTCGTTATTCTCTACTAATAGTTAATTAAAGACTGTATATAATGATTATTTTGCACATCCCTTTCAAGATTTCAAGATTTTCTAAGCTAAGGTTTATTGACATTTCATATTATACACAACTACGGTGTAGTTATGCAATGAATGAAAAACTTGGGTCGCAGGTTCCTCAACAGTGCATTACAAGACATCTATCAATATGTGCCTCCACCATTAAACTGTCATATTCTGCACATTTCTTATATTATCTACATACATCTTATAAGAGTATAATACATATGTATAATATCAGTTAAAATAAGTGCTTCAACATAGTTAACATTGCAGCAGAGCGATATAAGACGTTAGGTACTTTGTCAGGCTTAATATTTATCTACCCCCAAAGCTTTCTTCTTATTCAAAAGAAGACCTTAACCTAAAGTATTCTTTAATGTTTAAATAAAGCCTTGTTAGTTTGTCTGTTTTGCACATCCTCCTATTAATATCTAATAATACAAATAATAAAATCCAATAATGTGCTTTAACCATCAGGTGTCCCTTTCTATCAGCTGTGCACTGTTATGGTGTAAATACAGCCTATCTACCAATTGGATCAAATATAAAAATCAGCCGAATTAGTGTTGATACTGCAAGGAGACGTATTGTGTGAAAATAAATCTAAGATGTTGTTTAATTGCTGATATATTTATGATCCTCGTCATGTTTTCAGTGTTGGCGGCAGTTCTTCCTGTTTGTCTAGAAGTCTTCTCATCAGGGCTCTATAAATAGAGAACTACGGCAGATATGTAATATTTAATGCAGCCGAACCGTGTATTACAATGCCGTTATGTGATGACTTTCAAAGAGAAAATCAAGCACATTCGGAATAAAGTATTATTTAAAAATGTTTAAATGTTTTCGGATTTCTCATCGCATAAACACCATATCCCAACGTGCATTGCGGCTAAACCATCCAATCACCGAGCTAAGGATCTTGCCTACGTCTGTTTCGGGTATTGTTTTTGACGGATGTATTTTGTTATACACACAGTCCTTCACATTTAAATTTTAATTTACATTAAAGTAATTCATGAGGCCTTCTAAAATGTTTTTAAATATAACTACGGTTCTAGTTGAAGAGTTTGTAAATTAACATGAAGCCAAGTTGTTGCCTGGCAACGCAATTGCACAACGTCACGTCCGTTAATTCCACAACCGCACACATGGATTAACATCGATTTAATACATTAATGTAGCCTTTGTTTCTGCTAAAAGAGATGTCGACTAGCTGGGGCAACAAGAAAATCGGCGAAATCGAGTGTGACTATTAAAAAATAAATCATTATTATATTCATATTGAGAATTACAACCGACCGTCGTGGTAGCATTTGCTTGGCATTTCCAGGTATTTGGGCCACGTTAACAATACCCTGTAACTGTCACGTTTGAAGGGACGAAATCGTGACATCTTAACGTCCCCCAGCATGGTAAATCATCTTGCCGTGATACCGGGTTGAACCAACCATAAAGCTATAAGCCATTTCAGAGAAACAGACACTGGGAGCGAGAAAGTCATAATGGGTGGTGTAAATGGGCCTGGTACACTGAAAAGGAAATGACACATGATGAATGTTAAATTTTGCAGAATCTCCAACAACACTGCTGACTGTATCCCAGAAAACATCATTTTGAAGGGGTTATTACCAGGTACTACTTAAGATATTGCATTCAACTCTATCTTAAAAGTCACATTATTTAATAAAAAGTTGTATCTAATGGGATTTACTTTTTATATATTCTATACATCAACTGATCGGTGTTCTTTATCATATTTCCTGTTTATTTGTTGCACTGCACACATATTTATTGGTGTTGATAAAAAAAACTATTACACATTGTGTAACATATCTTTGTAATGACAAAAGTGCTACACCAACATTATGGATGCAAAATAAGGAGCAATTGATTGTATGTTATACTGAGGAGCAGGAAATAGGTTCACACCTTCATGAAAGAATGAGTATGTAATGAAGATATGATGAGTACAAACACAGGAAAAAAACGGAGGGAATCATTATTTGAAAGTCAAGGTGTAGGACTTTATTTACTCAGATTGCACATTATTCAAAACTCAACAACAACAACAACAACAACAACAGTGGAGAGGATGATGAAAGAAAGGCAGCAGAGTGAGATGGTGACCGCAGGATCAGACTTAATAGCTGGCCATGGTGGTCTCCAGCCAATAGTTGAAGAGGCAGACCTGTGAATGGAGACACAGTGAGGTTTATTAGGAAGTCAGCAATCAACAAATATTTTAGTCTAGCATGCAAAGTGTGAAATGTAGGTTTCATGTCTTCTATTGTAGAGATATGTTTGGTTTACCTTGGCGTAGACACCGGGTTGGTTTCTCTCAGCACATCCGTAGCCCCAGGACACAACACCCTGCAGCTCTCCGTTGCACACGACGGGTCCACCAGAGTCTCCCTGAGAGAGAATTAATTTGTGAAGGAATGTGCACATTTTCTGTATATGCAACTAAGGTGCATTGTTATAGGAAAAAGAATCCTGCATAGTTGTTTTGTTACACACCTGGCAGGAGTCCTTGCCTCCCTCCAGGTATCCAGCGCAGAACATGGCATCAGTGATCATGCCGGGGTAAGAGTTATCACAGTCCCTGTCGGACAGGATGGGGATGTTCAGGCACTGCAGCTTGTTGCCGTCAGCAGCTGTAATTTAGTAAAACAGGGTTAGAATAGCACAAATGACACAAAAATAAAGTGTAACTCCAGCTGTTAAAATGCGGGTGTTACTCACTGGAACTCTGGGTGCTTCCCCAGCCGGAGACGGTGCACCAGGTGTCAGCGGAGGCACAGCTTCTGGGCAGAGGCACTGGCTTCACGTACCGGTTAAGGGTAGCAGGCGTGCTCAGCTTGATCAGCATGATGTCATTGTCCATGTAGTAGGAGTTATAGTTGGGGTGACGGATGACACGGGAGGAGATGATAAACTGCTCGTTTCCCTCAGTGACTATAAGGTTGTGCTCTCCCAACAGAACCTCCACACGGCTAAAAGCAAATGGAAATGACTGGATTAGTAACAAAATACAGATAACTGATCATCAAATAATAATGTGCATGCCCCACGGGTTAGTAAATCAATCCTATGACCCTGGAAAACATGAGGAATGTGCTTACGACTTGTAGCAGTGAGCGGCAGACACCACCCAGTTCTCGTTGACCAGGGAGCCTCCACAGAAGTGGTAGCCAGAGTTCAGAGACACCTGATGGGGCTGGGAGTGGGGAGTGCACTCCTTCCCTCCGACGATCTTGTCCTCCTCCGTGGCAACTGAGAAAACACACATCAGCATCAAGTTACTTGTTTGATACTACTATTTAAAAAAAGTTACAATAAACATCTATTTTAATGTAGAACAAGTGTGCATTGTTAATTTGAGAACTTCGGGTGGTTAGAGATCAATCAGATGTTCTCTAATTAAAAACCTTGGCTTTAGGCACATGCTCTGGTTATTCTGCACTAAGTTTTGGGATAAAGGCCCACAGACTGTCAACAGAAAGGAAGGCAATCGGCTCGATAGGAGCTTCACACTCACAGGCAGCTCCGATGAGCAGAATGAAGACCAGAGACATCATGGTTGCTGTGTGATTCTGTCGATGATAGCCTTCACCTGCAGACCTGGTTTATATCCTCAGTGAGGAGAGCTGTCCTGCTGTCCAGCCTTCCTCATTGGTCAGCAAGGAGCCAATCTCTGCTGCAGGAGGTTGGAGTTAGGTGATTCATTTAAAGAATTACATAACAAATATCTTTATTGAAGTAAGGATAGCTTTCTTGTCTAGGAAACACTCAAATTTAAAAAATATAATTAATAAATGGGTGAAAATTGCTTGTGCCCAATGGGCAGCATTAATATATACCCACACGACAGCTAAGATCAGAAGAGCTTTATTTAACAGCTGGTCTTATGTCTGTGACCCAGGGCCGGACTGGGACAATAAGTCAGGCCGGGAAATATACACCCAGCCAGGCCACTACCAGTTTTCTTTTGTGCCATTTTCCTGGATTTATTTGTCAATATTTACAGCAGGGGTGCCCAACCTTTTTTGAACCGATAGCTACTTTTAAAGTTGCCAGTCTGCCGAGATCTACCAGTCCAAATAGAGAGGCGTAGTTACTGACAGCCTACTGCCAGGTAAATACACACTTCTACTTCGTATAAAACTGACCTTCGTACGATTAATACTCCATAAAATACTGCAGATCCTTTATCTTACCTCTTTCTAATCTACACACATACAAGTATTTAACTGAAGTTACACAACAGTGTTGTTGATACAGAGTTGGAGTTTATTCACACGTCACTACAGTGGGTAATGTTTTCAAGAAACATTGAACAGTGCTGCCACATATGACACAGGAACAAAAGAAAATACTCTGAACCCTTTCTTTGCCATTATATACAAATAGTGTTGCTACAAAAGTATAAATTAGGCTTACTAATAAGACAACTCAGATCTGAAGCTACACAGGAATCTGCTGCCAAAGTGCAATAAAAAAGACAACATTAATAGAATCAAACCCTTTTTTTGTTGCATTTTTAGTAGAGTATAAAAAGAAATGCCTTTAATAGGATGCAAGCAACACTAGTTTCTTAACCTGAATTGATAATAGACTATAATCAATTTAAGTTTGCATTCTTATACTATTTTGTACAATAATTATAATGAATAAGTTCAAATAAACAAAAACTTACAGCTGATTAATAACGTTATCTAACTTGAGTTTTTATTATATCAAAAACCTGTTGAAATGTTATTTTTACTGTCCCCCAAAAGCGCGTCGCAGCCTCCAGGAATGCTTATTTCACAACTTCGCCGTCTTTGAAAGACTTCATGTGTTTCTCAAGAACGTGACTGACACGATAAGATGCTATGGTAGCAGCCTTGCTCTTGTTGTTGGGCCTGGTGAAAATGGACTGCTGTGCATTTAGCTGTCCTTTCAGGCCCCTCCCCTTTTGGAGCGTAGGGCAGAATTAGGAGGGAATTCCGTCTCGTAGCGTTTGTGCACTGTTTTGAAATGCCGCTCCTAAATTACCCTTCTTCGATAAAGCCACGCTCGCATTGCAGATGAGACAGATGGACTTTGAATTGTAATAGATACACAAATAATCATCCTCCCACTCGGAGTGAAAATTATATATTTTGGGCTTTTTTTTATTCTGCCGTAATTGCGGTTGATTGATTGATTGATTGAAAAGTTTATTAACAGCTTGTATATTGGGTACAGTACAGTACAGCTCAAAACATACAATTGTTAAAGGGGACCTATCATGCAAAATGCACCTTTGGACGTCTTTTATACATGAATATGTGTCCCCGGTGTTCCAGGGAACTCACCAAGTGTCAGAAAACACAACCCTCTCTATTTTCCTCCTTCGCCAAATCTCTAAAAAAGTGGCTGAAACGGATCTGAAAAAAACGGATCCAGATTTCAACACTTTCCTACGTCACAAAGAGACGTGCTCCGCTTATTGGTCAACTCTCCACCTATCAGGGGAATGAGCCACGGCCACGTGCATTGCCAAACCTCTCATTCGCATATAGGCTATCGGCAGGCTAAATCAACTCCAGTCACATCTGTGTTTTTGTCTGCTCTTGTCAGGATGTCTAAGCGAGTTAAACTTTGTGCTGTTGTTGGCTGCAAGACTCGGGACAGGGGACGCAATGCCATCAGTGGAAAAAGAAAATAATCTGTGGCTAGACTTCTGTAGGTAAGTGCCGTTTTTTCCAGCGTTATATGTAAAAGCTTTTGTGATTGTAGTCTGTAAGAACGATCAGATCTGTAAGCTAAGCTACGCTACGCTAATGAGACATGCCGTTTTTTCCAGCGTTATATGTAAAAGCTTTTGTATGTTTACTTGTTTACGCACATGAATATAAATGGGGATGTGTTAGGATACAACACTGTGTGTATGTATGTGAGGGGGGACACACACCATGAGTAAAACAAAACTAAAGCCTCGTTGGTCTGTTGTTGTTGACGAGGCCTTACCTAGCAACAGGCTAATTAGTGGCTAGCACTCATTACAGTCAGTCTACTGAGCTCAGCCCCTCTCCAACACATCATCTGTATTGAGTCAGAAACACAGCATGCACGTTACGGTTCAAAACTAACTCAGATTGGAAAAGGCTAAGCAAAGAGCTTTGCTAAATAGAGAGTTTTAGCCCCCATCTTTTGGGATTTCAGACGATATTTATCCAAATAGTATTTTCTCATCCTGAATACTAAATTGAGATGATTTTGTTTTCTTCTTTACAGGCCAGCACCTCACATGCTACCAGCAGATTACCTGTGATGACAGATTCTGCATGTCAGACTGACCCACCCAAGTACCGTACTGTTCGTACACAGCTATCCTCGAGGACTCTTGGTTCACATCGAAGTACAGGTTAGAAGCACGTTTTTCAAATGTTCTTTGGATACATCTTGACATTCTGATGTTGTAGCCTTTAATTTGTGTGCTTCTAATTGTTGTAAAAATATTTTTGTTTTATCTTTTGTTTTGTTTTTAATGTCAAATACAATTATGTTACAGCTGTCCAGGCTAAAATTCCCTGCAGAAGCGTTGGTGTCGAAACACTTCCGTTGGAAGTGCCAGTGCCCTTTTTAACATCCACCCCCTTAAAGAGACCACCAAAGAGGCCCCGTGTGGATCTTGAAGAGGAATACGAAGATCCATTTGAGGGAAGCTCTTCTTTGGTGTTTTCCGAAGACCAGGATGCAACTTATGATCCAGCAGAATCCATAACAAATGCTACAGAAACAACAGCCATGTCGTAAGTTACTGAAATATCACTATGTGTGAGTTTGTCTATGTATTGTATTTTTTGCTGTATATAATTCAAACATTGATAATAGGGAAACACCAAAGATCTCTAAAGCAACAATCTGTGTGATGGATATTAACTTCTATTTTTTTGTTTTAGTGGTCAAGAACAAAACCCCCCCCAGACGATCAACACATACATCGTGTATGAGACCTGCCTCATGGAGCTTTTTGAATCATGTCCTGTGTGCAAGCGTGTGTGTAATGTACAAACCAGAAGGATCGGTACATTCATATCAGTGCAGCAGCTGTGCCCCCATTGTCAGTTTACAAGAAACTGGAATAGCCAGCCTGTTCTTGGGAGTACTCCAGTTGGAAACCTGCAGCTATCAGTTGCAACATATGTCAACAGAGCATCTTTCTTTCATTTGCACTTTCCAGGTTCTCCTCATCGACTCGTCAACAAATCTACAGGTGATCTTTGAGATTAAAATGTGTTCTTGCGGTTTTCTTTCAACCATTAGGTCTTCAAACAATGAATATGCAGCTATGCAAATACAACACCTTCCGAAGGCATGCCAGGATGTTCATTGAGCCAGCGATTGTTTCTTACTGGCAAAAATCACAGGAAGGCATGCTACAGAAGCTCCATGCAGAGGAGAAAGTGATAGTTGGTGGTGATATGAGGGCTGACTCTCCAGGTATGTATTTTTTATATAATTCACATTTTACATTTCAGAAAGGGGTTTCACTATGTGTGATTTATTCAATTAATGGTTCCTGAAAAACATATGCTAAACACTACAAGCAAAAATACAAATTCACCATCCGCAGAGAAAAGTAATTACTGTAAAACATATTTTCACAGGCCACTATGCAAAGTTCGGAAGCTACACTATGATGGACCTGAAGAACAACAAAGTCGTTGACCTCCAGTTGGTTCAGGTAAGTGGGGTGAAATGAAATATCAATGTTTTTTTCTTTAACACTGTTTGCACGTTATATTTAAAATGTGTGTATCAATGGTTATTTGTATGTGTCATAACAGAGCAATGAGGTTGGTGGAAGCTACCACATGAAGTTAGAGGGCCTGAAAAGGAGTCTGGAGTTGTTAAAGGAACGTGGTGTGACTCTGGACTGTATTGTCACGGACAGACATCTGCAAATTCAGAAATTCCTAAGGGAAAGCAGCATCACCCAATTCTTTGATGTGTGGCACATAGAAAAAGGTATTTTTATTTATGTTAATTTCTATAATAATAATATAATAATATTTTGAGTAAACTTGTATGTATATTAACTACATGTTAAATGTATTTATTAGGGATTTCTAATCAACTGGAGAAGGCTGCAAAAAAGAAGGACTGCAAAAAACTTCGAGGGTGGGTGAAGAGTATAATAAACCACATATACTGGACTGTAGCAACCTCCACCACCGGGCCTGAGAGAGTGGCCAAATGGTTCCCTAAGTGCCTTCATCCACTGCGCATTGTGCAATACCAATGGATGGCTGCAGGTATGTTGTTCATAAACCATATTACATTACTCCTCTATAAATATTTGTAAGGGACAACTATTGAATACAGGATGTTGTCAGACACAATCTATAAAGCATGACAATTCAAATATGACTTTGATTTTCAAATTCTTAGGAACGCCGGCCTTTCACAAGCTGGAGACAATTCTCTCAACCAAGAGGATTTTGAAAGCTGTGGCCAAACTCAGCCCACACCACCAGACTTAATCTTTGGAGTCATTCCATGCCGTCATCCTGCGCTTTGCTCCAAAGAATGTTGTGTTTCCATTTCTTGGAATGTTGTGCAGGTAAAATAAACCATAGTTACTTACTAATTAGTGACAATTTGTACATTCTTTGCTATTATTTACTTTTTTTCCCCTCATGGCGGAAATGAAAGACTGTACCTGGCAGCCCTGCACTACAATGAAAACTCTGAGCGTGCACAAGCCACTACATCCACTGGAAACCCTCTATATAAACTGCAGTTCCCAAAGGCCAGGAAGGGAGAATGCAGAGCAAAACCAGTAAAGACTGACCCCACATTCCGTAAGTGTTTAAAATATTTATTATACAACTATTTACAAATATAAAATAAAAAAATTAGAAAGAACTTTCAGTTTTTTACATGCATATCTAAACCACATTTTTTGTTGTGCTTTTATTAATATTGCACAGGCTACGTGGCCAACTTGATGGACCTCATATTCGACCAAGTCTTTGTGGACCCTGCACCATTCACACAGGAGCTTCTGAAGATACCCATCCCAGAGGACCTGTGTTCCCAATATGAGCGACCTGACAGGGAGGAGGTCATCTCCGGGTATGCTACACGGTTCAATTTGGCTGCCGTCTGAACCCAACATACACATTTCGCGGATCAGGAAACTCCCTGCGAATCCTGAGGACAACGCAGGCCGGAATCACCACTCTGATCCTGCGTCCAAGGAAGCCCCAGCACCAGCTCACAAAGCTTCTGTAGGCTAGATACCTGTGACGCCTGCAATCATTAAAAAAATATATTGTGTCATTTATACAAAATACAAGTACATTTCGTTTTTGTTATGGGTTCAAAGAACCGTTGATTTTGACAATAAAGTTCCGAGTTGATATCAAATGTGTCGTGATTATTCATGTTTGGATGGGTAAAGAATATTCTGATTTCAAAAGCATAAGGTTGTGTGTGGACTTTTTTTGTCGTACACATGGGTGTGTTATGCCATTGCTGTGTAATAATATATATATATATATATATATATAATAGTACATGTACAATGAAAGATTGCATAAAGCCATATACACCAGTATTTATTTCCATGAACAATATTAGCATTCGTTTTACAATTTCAGTCAAAAGAAACAAACCACTCACTGCTCTATTTGCCTCAACTGTAGTCCACCATGTTCAGCTCTGTAAATATTCAATGCATTCTGCAGGGAGAACACATTCAGGCACACAGGCTCCAATCCAGGATGGTCCACCATACAGGTTACAGAGTCCTCAAGTTCCTGCATCCGTCTTGACACCTAGTGTGATAAACATATTGAATGACATGTGAAAAATGCATTCTCTAAACTGACAACTTAGTGAAGCTATCAAAAATGTTACCTGTGGTATCGCCATGCAGCACACATTCTCCGGTTCAGAAGGCATCGTGGCGCAATTTGCACATGTACACCTGTAGAAAGAAGTCAATATCTGAGCTTTTAAAAACACATGAAACTACACACACTGCTGACAACTGAGGTGTTGTTGGAGTTATACTTTTTATCACCTTAAGTTATTGAACTTTCCAACGGTTGTTGCACGATGTTGGAAGAAAAGGGCTGTAAACTATTAATAAACGCAATGAGGCCATTGTATATATGCTGAAAATATGAATGTCTCCCTTTATAAATATATATATGTATCGCTGTTTTTGCGTTACAAGCTCTAAGTTATAAACTGTACACATAGCATTCTTGCTAATTAGCCAAAATATGAACGGAATAAGTAGCAAGCATCGTAACAGAGTAAAATAAATAGGAACAACAGCTTGTCAACTAACCATTCAGAAACGTCCTGCTGCAACCGAGATCTTTGCACCTCCACCAAAACCTCCGCTGCTTCAGGGTCAGTCTCTGGATCAAATTGATAATACGCTTGAACACATGCATTGCTCTGAGATGACATGTTTATTCCACACTCGTAATCACAGCAAGCATGCATGTTAACGTGACTCTCACCGGCATGGCTACAAAATGATCTGTTTGGTATTTTGAAAAATAAAATGTATAAATATACCTTATATAGGTATGGTCATACACTATATCATTTAAATATAGCATGATAGGTGTAGGAGCCAAAACGTTGATTTATTATTTGTATTATTTAATCATTTAATGTATGTAATGGAGTATAATTGATTGGTGTCAAGTGATCATGATCCGCAGCCACGGCTGGGCGGAGCGGCTGATTGGTGCTGCGATTGCCTCAGCTGGTTAAAAGAGTCCTGCTGATGATACTCTGTGTTCTAGTTTGGTTGTGAAGCCACACGGTTTTTTGACCGCTGCATTGCACTGCAGAGAAGGATAACTTGGAAATAAATATACCAAAAGAAAGGTGACTCTGAGTGATGTGTGAGCGCGTCGGCCAGGCGCGAAAACCAAAGAACAAAAGGAGCTTAAGAAAGGTGGAAAGAAGGCTCTTTTATTCGTCAAAAAACCCAGCTTGATGAGCGCTGGTCCGTGGAAACGTATGTTTTGAAAACAAGAACTCATAACAGCGTGTCAAATACTCGCCTTCGTTTTACTACGGATTCTACTTCCTAGAACGACGGTGTTGTGAAACGTGAATGACTGAAGGCAACAATCACTCCTCCCCCAACTACATCTGTAACGCGTCACTGCTGTGGAGCGTTCAAAGACTGTTGGAAACGTCTCAACTCAAGGCAAGACAATGAAAGTCCACAAACAATGAAGTAAAATTCAAAAGGAATAAACGTGTTGTCTTGAACAAAAATGGCAGACTTGGAAAGCTTGGAAAGTGACGTGTGTATATGGAAAGGCTCAAACGACTGAAATCATCAAGGAGTGCAAAATTGGGTGCATTGACAAGGAAAATAAATGAAATCAGACAATTAATGGAAAATGTCTGCAATGTGGAACTGGTTAAGTCGAAAAGGGAAAGTGAGTTTACACAACTACACAAAGAAATGGAACAGTTAAATGATTCTGTTCAAGCTTTAATGTCCACTGAGGAGGAGAAAGAAATGGATCAGGATGAGTGGTATAACCCCAAAGCAGCTGCCTTGGAAGAGTTTAATCAGGAGGTCTTAAACTGGATCGCTGATGCTCCTGTGTCCAATGTTGTCCAGACACAAATAAAAGGACATACGAGTGTTGCACCTCGGGACAGTATTTCAAACGTAAAGAGTGTTCATTCACAAAGTTCAAGGAGATCCTCTCGGTCTTCTATCACATCTGCTAAAATAAAGTTGGAAAATAGAAATGCAGAATTGTTAGCACGAGCTGCTAGGCTGACTCAGAAGCAAGCACTGGAAAGGGAGGAAGCCGGTTTGAAGGAAAGAAAGGAACAGCTGGAACTTGAAACAGATATTGCAGCAAACACTGCAAAATTAAGTGTAATCAAAGGAATGGAGGATTCTCATGAAGGCATGTACCAAGCAGGAGACAGAATGAATGAATATTTGGATCACTCACTGTTTGTGAGTACAGCATTAGAGCAAGAAAATGCTCATTTGAATGCTAACAAGCATACACCAAACATCAATAAAACTGCAAATGCCGTTAATAGTGAAACACAATTCATACCACAACGTCCTGAAAGTTCAACTTCATCCAGCACGTCTTCTAGCAAGGGAGAGGGCAATATGAACGGCTTAATAAGCATCATGGAAAAACAGACCATAATAACAGAAACAATGGTAAAGCAGCAGAAACTTTCTTCATTACCCCCGCTCAGCATTCCTACCTTCAACGGAA